TGGCTATTTTCAATATTATGGCCAAGAATATCAAATTAATAATCACTTTAGAAATGATCTTGCCCAGCAGTCTTTTCTTATTTCCCAAGGAAATGTCCTCTCGAAACAGTCTTACATAGTATCCAATACATTAAATAGATTTGTTAAAGAAATGTTTGAGTAGTGTTAAGTTTTAGAATTTAAACTTTTAAAATGTAATTATTATTTTATTATTAGTCATATTACTATTATTATACATTTTAGAGTCATGGTCTTGTTCTGTCTCCCAGGCTGGAGTGCAGTGGCCTGATCAGAGTTCCTCACAGCTTCAAACTCCTGGGCTCAAACAGTCCCCCTGCCTCAGCCTCTTGAGTAGGTAGACTACAGGCACATTCCACCATGTGTGGCTAATTAAAAAGAATTTTTTTCTAGAGATGGGGTCTCCCTATGTTGTTCAGGCTGGTCTTGAACTCTAGCCTCGAGCAATCCTCTCACCTTGGCCTCCCAAAGCACTGGGATTACAGGTGTGACCCACTGTGCCCAGCCCTATAATTTAAACTTCTTATAGGGTTCATTAATAAAGCAAAGAAGACAATGTTGAACAACAAATAAACTTAGTTTAAAAGGGCTTTGGACTCCTCTTCATATTTGTAAAGTATTTGAAAACGTTGAATTACATAGATCAGTAGCTGCAAGTGGTACTAGTTTATATTGGTTTATTTTACACGTTTCACTCTGATCTTTAGGAGACTTTAGTTTTACAGAGATTGTAGGAATAGCTTTATTTCTAGGACCACAGGAAAGTTAATTTAGCAGCATAAGTTAATAAATTAATTCCATCATTAAAATTTGGTATGTAAAACTGTTGAACTTGAGTCTTTTTATTTAAATTCAGGGAGCGTATGTGCCGGTTTGTTACATGGGTATATTGTGTAACAGTGAGCTTTGAGTGTACCCATCACCCACACAGTGAACATTGTACACAATAGATAATTTTTCTTTTTTTTTGAGATGGAGTTTCGCTCTTGTCCCACAGGCTGGAGCACAGTAGCACAATCTCAGGCTTACTGCAACCTCCACCTCCCGAGTTCAAGCAGTTCCCTTCTTCAGTCTCCTGAGTAGCTGGAATTACAGGTGCCCGCCACCACACATGGCTAATTTTTTGTAATTTTAGTTTCACTACGTTGGCAAGGTTGGTCTCTAACTCCTGATCCACCCACCTCAGCCTCCCATAGTGCTTAAATCACAGACATGAGCCACCGGCGTGACCCACCAATAAGTTAATTTTTAACCCTGACTACCCCCTTCGACTTTCCCTCCTTTTGGAGTCCACAGTGTCTATTTCCATCTGTGCGACCATGTGTACTACTAGTTGTTTGGCTCCCACTAAGAAGATGAGAGCATGCACTATTTGATTTTCTGTTTCTGAGTTATTTCACTTTAGGATAATGGTCTCCAACTCCATGCAGGTTGCTGCAAATGATATGACTTAGTTCTTTTTTATGGCTGCATAGTATTCCATGGTGTGTACCTACCACATTTTCTTTATCCAATCAACTATTGATGGATACTTAGGTTGATTTCCTGACTTTGCTATTGGGAATAGTGCTGCGATGACCATATGGCTCTAGCTGTCTTTTTTTTCTGTAATGACTTCATTTGGATAGATGCTTAGTAGTGGGATTGCTGGGTCGAACAGTCATTCTATTTTTAGTTCTTTAAGAAATCTGCATACTGTTTTTCATAGAAGTTGTACTAATGTACATTCCCACCAACAGTGTGTAAATGTTTCCTTTTGTCTACATCCGTGCCAACATCTGTTGCTTTTTTTACTTTTGTTTTGTTTTTTTGAGACAGAGCTGAGGCTGGAGTGCAGTGGTGCAATCTTGGCTTACTGTAACCTCTGCCTCCCAGGTTCAAGCAATTCTCCTGCCTCAGCCTTCAGAGTAGCTGGGATTACAGGAGTGTGACACCATATCTGGCTAATTTTTTTGTATTTTTATTAGAGACAGGGTTTTGCCCTGTTGCCCAGGATGGTCTCAAACTCTTAGCCCCAAGTGATCCACCCTCAGCCTCCCAAAGTGTTGGGGTTACAGGTGTGAGCCATGGTGCCTCACCTTGCTCTTTAATTATAGCCATTCTTCAGTGCTGTTCCGTTTTTTTTTTTTTTTTTTTTTTTTTTTTTTTTTTTTAGGCGGAGTTTTGCTCTTGTTACCCAGACTGGAGTGCAATGGTGCGATCTCGGCTCACCGCAACCTCCGCCTCCTGAGTTCAGGCAATTCTCCTGCCTTAGCCTCCCGAGTAGCTGGGATTACAGGCACGTGCCACCATGCCCAGCTAATTTTTTGTATTTTTAGTAGAGACGGGGTTTCACCCTGTTGACCAGGATGGTCTCGATCTCTTGACCTCGTGATCCACCTGCCTCGGCCTCCCAAAGTGCTGGGATTACAGGCGTGAGCCACCGCGCCCGGCCTCCTTTTTTTTTTTTTTAAAGACAGAGTCTCACTCTGTCACCCAGGCTGAAGTACTGTCGTGGGACCTCGGCTCACTGTAACCTCCCAATTCTGGGTTCAAGCTATTCTCCTGCCTGAGACTCCTGAGTAGCTAGGACTATAGGTGTGCATCACCACATCCAGCTAATTTTTGTATTTTTAGTAGAGATGGCGTTTTACCATGTTGGCCAGGATGGTCTTGATCTCTTGACCTCATGATCTGCCCGCCTCAGCTTCCCAAAGTGCTATGATTACAGGCATGAGCCACCACGCCCAACCAAGTGTTATTTTTTAATCTTAGCTTTAAGGTAGCTATTTAAAGAAAATCTAATCCAGTATTTACAGAATCCCAGAACTCTGCAGAAAATACTGTTTGAAACTACTAGTCAGGCTGGGTGCAGTATCTCATGCCTGTAATCCCAGCACTTTGGAAGGCCAAGGTGGAATCGCTTGAGTCCAGGAGTTCAAGACCAGCCTAGACAACATAGTGAGTCCCTATATCTTAAAAAAAAAAAAAAAAAAAAAAAAAAGCAAAAGCTAGGTGTGATGGCATGTTGTTGTAGTTCTAGCTACTCAGGAAACTGAGGTAGAAGGATCACTTGAGCCCAGGAGGTTGAGGCTGAAGTGAGCTGTGATCATCATGCTACTGCACTCCAGCCTGTGTGACAGAGTAAGACCCTGTCTCAAAAAAAAAAAAAAAGAAAAGAAAAAGAAGAAGAAAACTACTAGTCATGCTTTATGTAACATTTTCTCTGTAGAGTGAGAATATAGATTCTAATTATACTATTTGTTTCAGGAAAATTGTCAAATGAATATAATGTGAAAATATTTCTTACAAAGGACTAGATTAATATAAGTATATTCTCATTAAAATATGATGTGTTCTGGAACTTTCAGACATTTTTTAAAATATCAGTTTTAATCAATATTACAAGTAGTTGCCAGCCCAGACAACAAAATTTTTAACCTCTAAGTAACTGAAGTAGTATTAGTTAGCTATTTTATGATTATATATGCATTTTTTCATTAGCTTGCCAATCTAATAGATCCTCATTTTTGTCTGATTTGCAGTTCCAAATTGTAAACATTGTCCTTCCACTCCCACTGTGAGGTAGCAAAGGAGAATGAGGACTTTTTTTTTTTTTTTTATCCCCTGGCTTATTTAAAATTGGTCTACTATATTTAGCCCTCTACTGAAGTGACTGCCATCTCCTCTTTGAGGAAGAATCATAGATGCTGATGTCAGAAAGGAGCCCTGAAATGCCCTAGTTTAGTTCTGTGCCTGTAGGTGCATGGTTTTCTAAGCTGTGCCAAGAGAAAACTTTTCCAAAACCACACACATTTTGTGCCCCTTTAGAAAGCTGGATATTTAAAGGAACCCTGTGGCAAATCCTTTTTTGAGGCAAACGCTCCTTTGTACATCTAGTGCTTGAAGGAGCCATTGGAAGTTTTCTTACAGCTCCGTCCCCCACCCATGAGAGCTGCCGTGCAGTGCTTTCCCTCGAAGAGGATCCTCCTTTCTACACAGTCAGTGGCCTCGGGACCCCTGAGATTCAGGGCATCATGGCCCTGGGTACCTTCCACTCGGTGGTGCCAGGCATTCCTCTGGGGACTAGCGGATGTCTCAGGCTGGCACCCACCTTCTATTAAATTCCACGCAGATTTACAGGCTATTTGACGTCAAAATTAAATTGAGAAATTAAAATAAATGAGAGCATTATAATCTGTGATCTCATGTGACACTTCCAGCCAGTGAGCCTAGGAAACAAGCATAGCATGAGAATTGCTTGTTTTTATTTTATTTTATATGAAATAATATCATCACATAATCTAGTAACTAAGACGCTGGGTTAATATTCCAAGTCCACTGCTCACTTGCATAACATTATAGAGTGAATAATGTAACTACCTTAAATTTCAGTGTTCTGTGAGTAAAATAGAATTATTGATGCTGTCTACCTCACAGGGTGGTTGTGAGCTCTGAATGCTATCTTATCAAGTATAATTTAATACTAATGTTTAATTAATTTAAATATGGAACATAGTGTGTAGTAGGTACTCTAATATTTCTTAGTTTTTATCATTATTTTAATATCCTATTAATGTCTAGAAAAACATAACTTTAAAAAGTAAGTGAATAGGAGTAAATATAAAGTAGCAAAGAGGAGTAAAGGTTGTTTTTGTTTTTTTTTTTTTGAGGTGGGGTTTCGCTCTTGTTACCCAGGCTGGAGTGCAATGGCGAGATCTCGGCTCACCGCAACCTCCACCTCCTGGGTTCAGGCAATTCTCCTGCCTCAGCCTCCTGAGTAGCTGGGATTACAGGCACGTGCCACCATGCCCAGCTAATTTTTTGTATTTTTAGTAGAAATGGGGTTTCACCTTGTTGACCAGGATGGTCTCGATCTCTTGACCTCGTGATCCACCCGCCTTGGCCTCCCAAAGTGCTGGGATTACAGGCGGTAGCCACCTGGCCTGGCCAGGAGTAAAGGTTTTTAATGGACTTCTTCTCCCTGTGTGTCCCCTCTGCAGAATGTGATAAGTTGCGGCATGATGGCTACCGGAGTTCTCAGTACTACTCTCAGGGACCCACCTTTGCAGCCAACGCCAGCTCACTCTGTGATGATTACCAAGACGAAGATGAAGAAACAGATCAAAAGGTAAGTGTCAAAGTTCAGCACAGAGTCCTGGGGATTGGATCCCAGAACAGAAAAAGAATGTCTTTGGAAAAACTGGTAAAATCAAAATCAAGCCTGTATTTTAATTAACAGTATTGTCCCAAGGGAATTTCTTGGTTTTGACGAATGTGCCACAATTATGTAAAAGACTAATGTAAGCAGAAACTTGGTAAAGGATACACCAGAATCTCTTAATACTCTTGGCAGCTTTTCAGAAAATAACAGATCATCCTAATTTTTAAAAAGGTAAGATTAGAATTGAAGGAATAAATAAAGGAGGCATAAAATCAGCATATTTGCACACCTCAAATACTCTTTTTTTGGTTAGAAAAATAAAGGGCTTATTTCTGTCGTTTGTGGTTTTTTGTATGACCAAGAACCCAGTGATATGACAAAGAATATAATAGCAAGACCCACTGTTTTACGGTGGTCAGTATTATTAATGGAGATAGGATAGAAGCAGTGCATTTACTTAATATTATTGCATTAGCCAGTTCTTTTAGTGATTTTTTTTTTATATTGGGGTTCCTTTTCTTCTGCCATCTCTGGAAATACACAAAAACTACTTAAGAGAAGTAATTTTCTCAGTACTAAATACATAGGAAAGAATAAAAATGTATGAAGATTTTGATTTATATAGTTTTATTTTCATTTACTAAGTAATGTGGATTGATACTGGAATTACTTAAAATAAGATTTGATGAATAGTGTTTGGTTTTGCAACCATTTTTAATTAATTAAAAACTTTCAGTGGAATTAGGCCAATTTATAAATGCCTTATTGATTGATGAACATTATTCAAAATTTATTATCCTTTTCCTCAAATAGGTAACTTCAGAGAATAAAATAATAGTTAATCAAAAATCGGAAATGAAGCCAGGCATTGTGGTGTGTCTTGTATCTGCTGTCTCAACTATGGAAGGATGAGACAGGAGGATCCCTTGAGTCTGGGAGTTTGAACTGGGAGTAGTCACTCCATTGTACTCCAACCTGGGCAACAAAACAAGACCCTGCCTGAAAAAACAAAAGGGAATTTACTACCTTAAATTTCTGATCTTTAAATTAATATTCACCCAGATATTTTTAGATTCACTTTTTCTTTTTTTTGAGACAGAGTCTTGCTCTGTCACCCAGGCTGGAGTGCAGTGATGCAATCTCAGCTCACTGCCACCTCCACCTTCAGGTTCAAATAATTCTCATGCCTCAGCCTCTCAAGTAGTTGAAATTACAGCGGCACGGTACCACACCTGGCAGATATTTGCATTTTCAGTAGATACGGAGTTTCACCATGTTGGCCAGGCTGGTCTTGAATTCCTGACCTCAAGTGATCTGCCTGCCTCAGCCTCCCAAAGTGCTGGGATTACAGGCATGAGTCACCGCACCTAGTCTTCATTTTTTAATTAATATTTTAAATTGACAAATCATAATTGTATACATTTATGAGACACAATGTGATGATTTGATATAGGTATACAATATGGAATAATTAAATTAAACTAATATCTGTCACTGTGCTTACTTATTTTTTATGGCAAGACATTTGAAATTTATGCCTTAGTTATCTTGAAATATACAATTTATTATTAGAGATTGTAGTCATCATACTGTACAGTAGATCTAAAAAGTTACTCCTCCTGTCTCAAAAGTTATCCCCTTTGATCAACAACTTCTTATTCCTTCCCTCTCCACCCAGATTTTTATCACAGAATGTTTTTCCTATTTCTTGAAAGGCATATTCACATATTGGATTAGTCCTTTGAACCTTTAAAATATACAGACAGTCTCTTACTGTAATGGATAAAGCAGCCATTTCAAAATTGATCTGAACTTTAATTTCAAAAACTTCTACTTTTCTCTTGTTGGCATAAGTAGAAAATGAAAACAGAAGGTGAATTACGTAGTAAAACTTTTGTTTATCCAGATAGACTTTAGCTAGCCTTCTACTAATGCTCAGAGAAGGAGGAAAAGTTTATAGTGGGGCCTGGTGAGATAGATGGTTTCTGGGTGTATAGAGTCCACTAGCAAATTGACATTGTCATGACAGCATCCTAAGATTTTCTGGAGAATGGAAAAATAATTTCTAAATTCTTACATAGCTCTTTGCTTACCATGGCACCCAACTCTGAGGGAAGTTAGGTCTCTGGACTAGTTTCTACTCCTCTGTACCATTGCCACAGACCCCGACAGCCAAGCAGCCCTCTCCCAGATGTGTGTGAGAGTATAGACAAATCACCTCCGAGAAAACAGGCTCCTAAGCTGGGCGTGGTGGCTCATGTCTGTAATCCCAGCCCTTTGGGAGGCTGAGGCAGGTGGATCACAAGGTCAGGAGTTCAAGACCAGCCTGACCAACATGGTAAAACCGTCTCTACTAAAAATACTAAAAAAAATTGGCCAGGCACAGTGGGTCACACCTGTAATCCTAGCACTTTGGGAGGCCGAGGTAGGCAGATCACGAGGTCAGGAGTTCGAGACCAGCCTGGCCTGTCTCTACTAAAAGTACAAAAATTAGCCAGGCTTGGTGGCAGATGCCTGAATCCCAGCTACTCAGGAGACTGAAGCAGGAGAATCGATCCTGGGAGGCGGAGGTTGCAGTGAGCCAAGACTGCACCATTGCACTCCAGCTTGGGCAACAGAGCAAGGCTCCATCTCAAAAAAAAAAAAAAAAAAAAAAAAAAGAGCTGGACATGGGTAGCATGCACCTGTAATTGCAGCTACTCAGGAGACTAAGGCAGGATTGCTTGGACCCCGGAGGCAGAGGTTGCAGTGAGCCGAGATTGTGCCACTGTGCTCCAGCCTGGGCGACAGAGCAAGACTCCATCTCAAAAACAAACAAACAAAACAGGCTCCTGTCCTGCTGAAAATGAGTCCGAAGAAAACGGTCACGCATGAGGGAATGTATATAAAAGTCGTCCTTTATATGATACGATGTGACATGCCAGTAAACACAAATGTTTCCACAATAATGACCTGAGTGTGATTTGCTGGCACTGGCATCACTAGAACAAGAATGAGAAGTTGACTGTAGGACCCTTGACAGGTCTCACTGGGGCCTGCAGGGTCCTTCTTTTTGAGAAGGGGAGAAGTTGGGCAGTGGGAGAACCTGCCTGGTGTGTGTGGGAGGAGAGCTATCTTCTGGGCTCCCTGCCAACCCTCTCCGGGTTACAGTGTTTGCCATCTTGGCTTTCGTCTATTTGCTCCCTTACAAAAGCACACAGTCCCTTTCAAATCTTAACTTTCTTGGCTGCTATAAATTTTTGTTACTTTTGTGATTTTTAAAAATCCAGGTTAGGTTAGGCATGGTGGGTGGTTCACACCTGTAATCCCAGCACTTTCGGAGACCGAGGTGGCTGGACCGCTTGAGCTCAGGAATTCGAGACCAGCCTGGGCAATGTAGCAAGACCTTGTCTCTACAACAAATAGAACAAAAACTGGCTGGGTGTGGTAGTGTACTTCTAGTGCCAGCTCCCGGGAGGACTAAGGCAAGAGGATTGCTTAAGCCTGGGAAGTCAAGGCTACAGTGAGTCATGTTTGTACCACCGCACTCCAGCCTGGGCAACTGAGTGAGAACGTGTCTCGGGAAAAAAAAAAATTCAGGTTAATAATTGTTCTTCATTAAAAGTATTGTAAAATCCTTGGAATATATCGTTAGAGATATTTATAGGTAACTTTTATTTTTCTTAAATATGTAGAATCAAGCTGAAGTATATTAGAAAAATGTTAAATCCTTAGATCTGAATGTCATCTCAAGGCAATCTCTATAAAGAAATTGGTTTTAGGATAAAATATCAAATTGTCTTATTTTTCTCAAATGTATATTAATTAGACATTATTATATACTAATTAAATATCAGCTAACAAATTATAGCTCATAATAGCTAACTGCCTGCCTCCCCTTTCTCCCTCCCTGCCTTTCCTTCCTTCCTTAACATTCTGCTCATTGAGCTACCTCATTCAGTGTTGTATTAACCTCTCCATTTCTTGATTCTGTGGAGCATCAAAACGCCATTTGCCACCCCACATAGTCAATTCAATGATCTTAGAGCACATTTTCCATCCTTTTGCTTATTCATCATGATTGGATTATTTGCAGCACTCTCTGCCAGAGAAAATGTTTGGTTCTTTGTTTTTTGTTATTGTTGTTTCTGTGTGTGTTTGTGTGTGTGTGTGTGTGTGTGTGTGTGTGTGTGTGTGTTTTGAGAAAAAGATCTCACTGTGTTGAGTCTGTTGCCCAGGCTGGAGTGCAGTGGTGCAGTCACAGTTCACTCTAGTGTCAACCTCCTGGGCTCAAGTGATCCTCCTGCCTCAGCCTCCTGAGTAGCTGGGAATACAGGTGCACGCCACTACACCCAGCTATTTCTTGTATTTTTTTTTTTTTTTTTTTTTGTAGAGATGGGGTTTCACTATGTTGCCCAGGCTGCTCTAGAACTCCTGGGCTCAAGCAGTGTGCCCACTTTGACCTCCCAGTGTTCTAGGCTTACAGGTGTAAGTCACCAAGCTCAGTCTTGTTTTTCTTAACTGTATAAAATTAACAAGTCTTAGTGCTGCTCTCAGTGACAAAGATCCTGAAATTGGTATGGAAATGAAATGTGTAAGCCTTGTATTTTCTCTACCACTTCCTACAGGTCCCTCTCCATAACTCATGTGCAAATGTCTTCAGGTTGAAGTGGGGGTTTCATTTGTGTGTATCCACATAGTAAGTGATTGGCTGCTTAGTTGGCTTATTCATTCAACAGTAATTCCTTGAGTTACCACTACTAAGTAAATATTTGCCCTGAGTCCAAATCTTTGTTCATCTTCATGGCCCTTCCTGCCATTTACTAGATCACTGTGATGCACGGATGCATCCAAACTGTTCAACCAGCAGTGGTGGTCATTTAGGACCCAGACACACTCCTTAGCTCTCCTTAATGTCTTCTGAAGAAGAGCTCCTTCAAGCACAAAATTATAATTCCTTTGTAAAACAAGGACTTATTGATCACTTT